TATATCCATCCCCGTGGATTCCCTATATTTTCTTTCGAAGTTGAACCCCTGTATTTGGAGAGCCAGATCATCAGTATCATCAGAAAGAAAGGTTTCACAAAGAACTAGAATATTGACTGATCTAGTTTGCTGTAACATTAACTAAATCTCATTCAGTTTAGGGAGGATGTGTTGAATATTTATGTTGATTACTTGCAGGCCTCTTTTGAGGAGCCAAAGTCTGAAAAGATGATTGATTTTCAGACAAGGTAGTTTGCAATGTATTGCTTTTAGATTTGACAGATTTTTTTTTCATCACTTTGATTATTTACATAAACACACGAAGAGGATAACATACAAGATCCATCTGTTGTATCATGACCACATGTACTGGGTACATGAGAATGTTCAATATGAGACTGATTCACATTTGTACAATAAGACATAGCTATATTAGACACTTGAGGAGCCTCAGAGGGAGAAGCGACTTGAACAGTATCATGCACAACGTTTGCTTATATCCTAGTTCATTACAAATATGGCAACGAATCTGTTTCCATGCAGTCATCGAGGTGTTACATGACAATGCGCTCCACAATACAAGCAGTTTTCTGACTCATGCCTAAACCCTTTTATAAGTCTTATGTACTGGTCTATATTCTTTATGAGCAAGCCAGTACCTCTGTTGGACAAGTGGATTTGGTCCCGCTGGTATAATTGTTGGTTCACTCGATTTGAAGAAGGTCCTGTACTGCGGAACAAATAGTATTTGGAAATTCTCACACAATGTAGGGTATCATTTAGCACATCCCTTCTTAGTGGTAGACCTGAGATGATTATTTTATACACTGTGTTTCTGGACCTGATGGCATACAACAAGCTTTCATAATCATCCTCATTACCCTTTAAAGATTGGCCATTACTGTAATTATTGTCACCGATGAGAAGAATTACAGTATGATATGGTGACACATCCATTTCCAATATTTGTCTGTAATAGTATTAATAGTTGCACTTCTGTGGGTTTTTACATCAGTTTTATAGAATCCTCTTGTTCTTACTCCTTGGATTATTGATGATCCGATGAGAAGAGATCAGTCTTTAATTACATTGCTGATTTTAACAAGTGGGGGATTCAAATGCATTGCTTGGACATCTTGATTTCCATGACTAGACTGACTGAGACTTGGGTGACTGCTATATTTAGTATTTCATGCTGTGAATAATTGTAGGTTGTTTTTTGAGCAGTTGCTTCTGCACCTGGATTTGATGTTAACTGAGACACATGATGGTCACTGTTTGCAGTGTGTGCATTAGCTGATTTTTGGATCTGCCCATTTGATACCTGTAGAAGAGACTCATCTCGTTTAATTGGTGAGGTTGCATCTGTTTGTGTGTATATTGTTTTTTTTCCTAATAGCTGATATTTGGCTCTGCCCATGTGATACCTGTAGAAGAGACTCATCTCGTTTAATTGGTGAGGTTGCATCTGTTTGTGTGTATATCTGATACATGTAGAAGAGACTCATCTCGTTTAATTGGTGAGGTTGCATCTGTTTGTGTGTATATCTGATACCTGTAGAAGAGACTCATCTCGTTTAATTGGTGAGGTTGCATCTGTTTGTGTGTATATCTGATACCTGTAGAAGAGACTCATCTCGTTTAATTGGTGAGGTTGCGTCTGTTTGTGTGTATATTGGTTTCTTTTTTTAGCTGGAGCCTATTTTGGAGCAATTGGATAAAGAGACTGACAACAATGACTCAGAAAACTATTCTGATTTTGTTAAATTGATAGAGATTCAAAATTCTCTTTTCACTGGCTAATTTCACTCTTGCCCACTCTGTCCTTGGTGTCTTTTATTGCAAATCCAGGACTTTCCAGTCGGTAACACATTTCTTTTTTCTGCTTTGATTTTTGCTTTTTGTTTGTTTGGTTGTTTGCTGTTCTATTTTTTTTTCGGGGGGGGGTGGTTGGTTAACGAAATGACAAAAATAATTTAACCAGGACGAACTACGCTGATTTTTCTGCAAATATGCAATGCAATGACAATGACCTATTTCGTATGTCTGCAATTGGGGTTGGAAATATAAAGTCTATTTCTGGGCCAGTTATAAATAACAATGCGACAGCATTGACTCTATATTAAGCATGCAGTGCAAGGTCGAATATAAGTTGTTTCGTGGCAGCTAGAGGCGGGATTGTTCTTCAGAAAATTCGTATACAGACCAACAAATAAAAAGGAAAACAGATTGTACAGTATATAAGAACTACGGAAAGAGAATACAGCTCGTGAAGAAAAATCTCAGTAGTTTTTCAGAAAAATACCATCGTTCTATTTATAATAAATATTTGCCAATGTTCATTTTTGTCAAGATTGGTTCTTTTAGTATTATTGTGATTTGCCGAAATCTTACAATACCCCGACGTATTTCTTTCCTAACATGCGTGTATGCTTTCAATTTGTATGTGATTATATCAGTAAGACATCTTCCGAATCTTTCATTGTCTGTTGCCTATCACTGAAGTGTCATTGTTATTTTTGACTGCGTACCACAAGCTACCTTTGAACACGTGAAACTGACAAGTTCATGCGCCACATGCTGCGCACCTGTTCATTATAACCTTTTCAAATAGGACTGAAAAGGTCTGTAACAGTGCACAGAAGACTTGCAAATGCCGGCAATATATTTCACGAACACTCATATCAAGGATAGAACATGTCAATTGAATAGGTCAATTTAGTTTGATATACGTCCTTCACAGCAGGTGACAAACCTTATTTTTGGTATCATGAATAAGATGAAATTTGTGGATACCAGTTATTTTGTCATTATATGTTTATTTTTTTACACAAAAAAATCCTGCATCAGAAAATTTGCGACTGAAAGTGCGATGATCTCTCTCTCTCTCTCTCTCTCTCTCTCTCTCTCTCTCTCTCTCTCTCTCTCTCTCTCTCTCTCTCTCTCTCTCTCTTTCTCTCGTACATTCACACACATACACAACGATCGTAATGAGTATAGTAGACCTTTGAGTGCTAAAACAGAAGTGCCAGTCAAACATAACAATTGCAGCGCTTCCTACGGGTAAATAGAAAACTTCCTGAGTCTGAAAAAAATAGGATTTTTTATTTTTTTTTAAAAAAACGCTCAATTTGAGTACACGCTCATCTGAAGAAAAAAAACAATCTACCTTCCAGAATTTGTTTAAATTCATTCTTGATGAAATTTTGTATTACTGTTTATCTTGAGTTCATTGTTTTAAAACGCATTTTAATTTCAGCGCAACTATTCTAAATTCAAAATACTAAAGTTTGGCAATTTGGCAATTTGAGCCTGGCACAAACGCATTTTTAACTTTTAATACCAGTAAGGCCAAATCAATCTCTTTACAAATCAGCTGAAAACTCTCCCCTAATCTCGACCAGTCAGATTCCATTACTTTTCATAAATGTTGCAGATTAACTTAACTACACGTGCATAGACGTTTGCTGACTCAAATTTGCATTTCTGTTACCATCCCAGTAACACCGTGCATGAATTTATCCAACCGCTAATTAGGTCTTCACTTTGGCTTTTAAATGATATATTTTACCTTACAAAGTTAGTAGGTGAGATATTGTGTCCCTTCCATTCATCCCTACTCCACGACAACCTCACTCCACGCCGAACATAATTCCCCTGGAGGACTCATATGTATAATGTGAGATAGATACACTGAGGCAAATGCGTAGAGATAAGGATTTTTAAATATTGGAGGGGGGATTACAGGACACATCAAAATGTGAACAAAACGTTATGTTTTCTTGTTGTAATTCTAAGCTGCATTGCAGCCATGCCTTGAATTCTAAACGCCATTACAGTATTTTCCACAGATGATGTGTAGACGATGCCTGGAATTCTTAACGCCATTACAGTATTTTCCACAGATAATGTGTAGTCGATGCCTGGAATTCTTAACGCCATTACAGTATTTTCCATAGATGATGTGTAGACGATGCCTGGAATTCTTAACGCCATTACAGTATTTTCCACAGATAATGTGTAGTCGATGCCTGGAATTCTTAACGCCATTACAGTATTTTCTATAGATGATGTGTAGAAGATATAGTCATGGAACTGCACGTGCTCAGATGGTTTAACGTCGGATTCGCAATAGAACGGTCTCGGTTTTGATTCTAACCTAAACCAGGCCTGGTGGGATGCCTTAGTGTATCTATTTGTAAAGCACTTGACTCCCATTTCCTTGGCATGATATAACCAATAAGCTGTTAAATATTCAAGTCAAAACCAACAAAAACAAATATCAAATGATATATGCAATCTTTAATGATTCATGTTGTACGAAGATAAAAGTCAAGAAGTGCAAAAATAGTTTGCTATAAATGATTCAGTAAATGCATAGCTAATAAACATAATAAATGCATATCTCTAGTCGAGAGCTCCATTAAATACGAACCAACAGACCAGCAATTTTTCTTTAGAGAATGTCCGGCACACTGATGTCGAGAAATTGATGGGTGAGTAATGGTACCATGACGTTGACAAAAAGGTTACAATAGGCCAGTCAAGTAACTAGTCAGGAATTATCTCTACATACAGAAACATCTGCTTCTTCAAGATTAAAGTCAAGCGCTTCTACGACAAACAAAATAATCATTATGTGCAAAGATACGATTGCACACTAGATAAAGAAGCTGTGAATGGATAAAAGATAAATTTACAAAGGTCCTTCCATTGTAATACTGTAAGAAATGTATAAGGAACACAATGCCATTCCATTTTACTACGGTAATAAATATACAAGGTACACAAAGTTCCTTCGATTTTAATACAGCAATAAATTTAAAGGCGTACAAGTGTCCTTCTATTTTAATATAGTATGAATTTACAAACTAAACAGATGCCCTTCGATTTTCATACAGTAATGAATTTACAAGGCTCATAAATGTCCTTGGAGTTTTGTAGACCCATATGCTTTGCAAACCCATGCTACCAAAGACATTTTTTTAAAGTCTTTGGTATGACTCGGTCGGGGTTTGAACCCACGACTAAACGCATCCATGGCGGACACTCTAACCACCAGGCCACCGGAGCCGTGCAGTTGATATTCAATTTAACACTTTTTTTGTCATGCTGATATAATACATTTGTTTCTGAATAATTGGTAGAAAACTTACTCATTTTTGTCAAAATACTAATTTTGATACGTTGAATATCTCAACAGCAAAAGAGATGTATATCTTTCGTGTGTGCGTGTGTATTTGTGTGTGTGTGTGTGTGTGTGTATGTGTGAGCCTATGCCCGGCCTTACACCTAGCAAGGCCACAAAGCACCAAACTAATTTGAATGTAATACGTTCAATATATCAAAGGCAAAAGGGAGGAATATCCTCTGTGTGTGTGTGTGTGTGTGTGTGTGTGTGTGTGTGTGTGTGTGTGTGTGTGTGTGTAAGAGCCTATGCCCGGCCTTACAGCTAGCGAGGCCACAAAGCACTAAACTAATTTGAATATGATACGTTGAATATATCAAAGGCAAAAGGGAGGAATATCCTGTGTGTGTGTGTGTGTGTGTGTGTGTGTGTGTGTGTATTAAGAGCCTATGCCTACCCGGCCTTACAGCTAGCGAGGCCACAAGGCTCCAGACTATTTTGAATGTGATACGTTGAATATATCAAAGGCAAAAGGGATGAATATCCGTGTGTGTGTGTGTGTGTGTGTGTGTGTGTGTGTGTGTGTGTGTGTGTGTGTGTTGAGAACATAGGCCCAGCCTTACAGTTAGAGAGACCAGTCGATAAAAGTGGGACAAGACCTGGGCAATTACTTTAGCATGCTTAATTGTTTTGGTCAATTCCAGCAATGGGTCCGATGGCGTGGAGCACACGGCAACCGTCTTACTCACATAGCTTGAAGGCCGATCCTATGATGAACATCCCTGAAAAGTCAGTCAGAATTACAAAGAGTCTATGGTATATCGACATTATATTCGCAGATGAAATGGGTACTGGGATAATGCGTCCTCATGCAAATTTTATTTATTTATTTGAGTTAACACGAGAGCCAGTGGCTAAGCTTGGATCCTATGCAAACCTTATCGATGGGCCCCTGCCTAAACTATAGTGTGAAAAAAGATCGTAGACCCATATGCCTTGTATACTCATGCCACATGATGGCTCCGCCACTGCTGATAGTTTTTCAAGAAAACACTGCGAGAAGTGCAATAGTCAGATAACTTACGATTTTATTTTTTACCTTAAACACACCGTACAGCTTAAAGAACATTAGTACTGATGACAAATTTTATCATTCTAAAATGGTTTTCCTTTCCCCACCAGATATTAATTTTCTGCGATTTCCAAAATACTGGAATATTAAAACCCACATCTGCACATTTCTTAAAACAGGTTTTTTTTCTTTTTTTTTTCTTCATTTAATTATTTAATTTGTTTCACTTTAATGAAGCTATATTTCTTAGTACATTATGATGCCAGCAGATAAAAAAAACGGCGTAGGAAGGCTGACGGGGTTTGACCCAAGAGGCAAAGGTTTTGGAGCGACAAAATCACAGACACCAGAAGTCTTGGGGTGCAAGAAAAACCCTTTGAGCCACAAACGTTCCACCTGGCGCCATTTATCCTTAATACACCACTGTCTGATACGGTATGCAATTGCTTATAGGTTGGAATAGACGCTGATCTTTCGTCACATAATGCGCCAGCAGATCAGGGTCTGTTTATTTTATTGCTTGATCCAAACAAATTGCAAAGACCCCCAAAATGTCTAATCACCGCTATGTAATTCAACAGAATTAATCTAAAATCTCTCTATACGAAATAGAAATTTTCAGCACAATCAATGTGATTAAACACGTTAAATTGAAATTCTCGATATATGACGTTAAAATTTTAACACCCGCCATGTAATTCAGAAGATACAATCTAAAATTCGACATCGGAACTCGAATTTTTAACCAGTGCTGTGTAATGCAACAGATAAAATATAAGTAATCAGAATCAAAACGTAAATTAGAAATTCTCAACATATGACATTGAAATTTCAACCACCACCGTGTAATTCAAACGACATAATCTAAAACTCGACATGGAAAATATAACTTTCAACCACTACTGTTTAATTCAAAAGATACAATCAAAAATCTTGAAGTAGAAAATGTAACTTTAAGGACAAGCTTTTTTGATACACGTGAAATTTAAATTCTGGACATATGACATTAAAATTTTAACGGCAACGTTTTATTGGTCCTGCTTTTGTCCGCTACGGCGCCTCATACATTTCAGTACATTTCAGGAACGAGTTAGGTACATTAGGGGATCTTGAAACTGAAATTTAAAAATGTCATGCTGATAGAGCATTTAGGTCAACGGCTCCTTCAAAACCTGGCAACATAGTATTTCAACGTTGTCAGGTCGTGTTGAAAGTTCCGTCAATGGATCGTTATTTCTTTCATCTGAATCGTGAATAAAATCTTTGATTTGTGTCTGCTTATGTAATATCAGCGATAAATGTAACTTGGCCTTGAATGACAAAAAGTGGTTGACTTTCAAGTTCGAGCTTCAGTTATGAAGTACACAGTTTTCTTGGTGGGAATGTTTTACTTTTGTGGCGAGCCGTAATAAATGTCGTTTTTTTCTTATCGTTGAATAACACTATATTCTCTAAACTTCGAACTGAACACTTTGTAGAAGAAAAAACTTGTATTTTTAATACTCTCCTCAACACGGAATGTAGCAGTCAATATGGAAACATGGACAGTAAGAGAGGAAACTGCTGGCCTAATATATATATATATATATATATATATATATATATATATATATATATATATATATATATATAGAGAGAGATAGAGAGAGAGAGAGAGAGAGAGAGAGAGAGAGAGAGAGAGAGAGAGAGAGAGAGAGAGAGAGAGAGAGAGAGAGAGAGAGAGATTAATTCAACACGATAATATATTCTTACATACAGACAGGTCTCTGTAATTGCGCTTTAACTCATCACCAAGATGGCTATGGTGTGTCAACAAAGGTCAAGTCAATAATGTACTTAATAAAACAATTGCAATTGATGGAGGGAGTTGAGCATGTCCAAAAAAATTATGATTAATTGAAAAATAACCTATAAAAGTAAAAATGATAAATTCTGAAAAAAGTGTATAAAATAACAAATAAAATTATCCCTGAAACATCATTACAATTTCTTTTATAAAATGCATTCCCTTAATATGTCCTAGACTTTTAAGCCGGTTGGTCCTTATTTTCAAGTCACGTGGAAATAAATGCTGCCTCACGAGAAGAAAATAGGCATGCATGATAATAATATATTGCACTGACAGTGGACCCACCCTGACTGGGTACACATTCTGGTCGAGGTTCACCCTTCAGGACGTATGCATGAATCAGTTATGTGTGGCCGATATGCGATCGGTACAAGACCACGTCACCTCCAGTTTGTTATATCCTAGGAATGTCACTTTCCAACAGTGAGTTTGCTGTTCTAAAGTTTGTGAGTTTTAATTCTTGATATTTTGCCAAGTATGACAAACATCATGATTTACACAATGTGAAGGCAGTACATGGAATCTTCCATTCGGAAAAGGGGTAAATGGAGCGCAGCTTTGGTTGGTTTATCTGTCCTTTCATTACGCCATATGCAGACCCGGCCATAGGGTGTGCGAGGATCAAGTCGACAAGCGATGAGCGCAAGGTCCAGGCAAATAAATTGCATTGCGGAGAAGCGCGGGACCCAAGGCGGTTGCCTCATTCGCCTTGCCCTAGGGCCTGTCCTACCCATATACCAATGTGGCTAGGTAGCCACAATACAGAATACATTTTCCAGATTGTATAAGATCATGTTTCTGTTATATCTGGAACATTGTCGGGTTGTCAGAGTTAAGATTATGCAAGGCTTTCGATGTGGAAATGGAATCCGAAAGATGCTGTAATTTGTTTCTTGAGAGGTTTAGCGTACTTTAAATCTTTGAGGAGGACTGTAAAAGTACTGAAATACAACTTTTCCATTATCTGGTTAGAGATGGTGCCATGAATTGTGGTAATGACAAACCCAGCTTTGTCTCCATCTTTAGAAACGTGCTCTGTACATGGATTATGGACATGACAGTGCTCTGTACAGGAATTACGGACATAACAGTACTCTATACAGGGATTATGGAGACGACACTGCCCTGTACAGGGATAATAGACACGACACTGCTCTGTACAGGGATAATAGACACGACACTGCTCTATACAGGGATAATAGACCCGACAGTGCTCTGTACAGGGATTATGGACTTTTTGAACTGGCAGATATCAAATACCATTAACGGTTGATCAGAAAAGAGTCGGGTTATAATCCATAAAACAGATACTCCCTAAATAGCAAACTAGCGACAAGTCTGGAAGAGAATGTCACAGAGAAAACTTGAACTTTCTCTCTGAATCCACCTTAATAGAAAATAGTAAAATTTCGATTGGGGAAAACGAGCACTGTTCACAAATTGCTTGACATTGTCGGATTGTCGAGAAAATTTTATATGCATTCAGCTTCCATGCATAAGGCCTGGTCGACCAGGTTCATGTGCCTGACTATTCTGGTGCCACTAGCATTTTCATGCCTCTAAAGTGTTGTTAGAAATTATGAAACACCACCGAACCACCCGTCCACGCACCTTACCCCATGTAAAGATATATACGTCATGGCAACGCACCGACACATAATTCCAACTGCGTGACAGACGTCCTAAAGAACATATCATCCAAACTTGGTCAAATCTCAGCCCAAGTTTAGTTCCTAGCTATTTCTGTTTAAATCCCAGTATCAAATATTTGCTGAGGGGCAGATACCTTGAAAGACGCCGTGCGTACTGTTCACTAATTTAAAAAAAACAACAAACAAACAACTATAGCAGTGTTTTCACCTTATCACAACCTTCCTCGACTTAATTTAAATATTTAAACGTATTTTACAGTGTTTTGAATAGTTTATAAAGACCCAGTAATGTGTGGTCTTTTTGGTCACTTGAAACAGATGGCATGTAAGATTTTATAATCTGATTTAGAATAACCATTTATTTTTCTGTTAA